GCCCAGGCTGAAAGAGCCAGGCTTCAGCATCCCTGCTTTTCTCTCCTCTCTGCTCCAGTGCAAATTTTGCCTTTAAAATCTTAGATATTAGTTGAGTGGTACACACCTTGTAATCCCAGGAACTCAGGAGGCTGAGGCAGGAGGATGACAGGTTTGAGGTTAGCCTCAGCAACTTAGCAAGTCCCTAAGCAACTTAACAAGATCCTCTATCAAAAAATAAGAAAGGGGGCTGGAGTTGTGGCTCAGTGGTAGAGTGCTTGCCTAGCATGTGTGAGGCACTGGGTTCCTTTCTCAGCATCACATATAAGCAAATAAATAAAGGTCCATTAATAACTAATAAAAATATAAGAATAGGACCTGGGTTTGTAGCTCAGCGGTAGAGCATTTGCCTGGTATATGTGAGGCACTTTGTTCGATCCTCAGTACCACATTTAAAAATAATAAAAATAAAGATATTGTGTCCATCTACAACTAAAAAAAAAAAATATTGAAAAAAAAAAAAAAGAAAGAAAGATGGGGCCGGGGATGTGGCTCAAGTGGTAGCACGCTCGCCTAGCCCTTCGTGAGGCACTGGGTTCGATTCTCAGCACCACATAAAAATAAAATAAAAATGTGTGTCCACCTAAAACTAAAAAATGAATATTTTTTCAAAAAAAGAAAGAAAGGCTATGGATGTAGGTCAATGTAAAGCACCCTGGGTTCGATCCTAGTAGCAAAAAAAAAAAAAAAAAAAACTTGACAGCTTCCACATCTTCACCTTCTCCATATGTCTATACACAGTGCTTTAGCAGTGCACATTTTAGCTACCTGGGGAGCTTGGAAAGATATGGATGGCCAGGCTATATGCCAGACCAAGTGAACCAATCCCATGGCTGGAGCCCAGGGTAAAATAATTTTAAAGCTTCCCCAGAGGATTCCAACTGGCAGGAAGTTTGCAAACCACTGCTTTGGAAGTTTTGATGAGCTCTTTAATGTGCAATTCCCTGGGAGTCTTGCTATAAAAATGCAGGTTCAGACTCAGTAGATCTAGGGTGGGGCTACAATTATGCATTGCTAGTGAGCTCTAAACAGGTGATCTGTGAATGGTGAGGTTCTTGGGGAACCGCTGAGTTTCATAGAAGAGAGATCAGAAATGGCCCAGTTCACCCTTTAGATGACTGTCCACCTCTTTTCCTTGCTGGCTTGACTATGACAAAGGCACACACCTCTTCCAGGAGCTTCACCAGGCAGCACTAGCCTCCTCCAGTAACTTGGTGAACTCAAGGATGCGAGCCAGGGCCGATCCTGCTCAGAGACTCTCTGAGGCTTGGAGGACATTTCTCTAGTGAAACCTCTACCCACGCCTGGATGAATGGCCTCCAGAGTCTGCTGTCTTCATTCCTCCAAGGGGCTATGTGGGGATGCAGCAATACATTGCCACAAACTTCCACCCTCGCATTGTGCTCCAATTGCCGTTTGCAGCAGAATCCCTGCCTCACCCCAGATGTCTCCAAAAGGAAGTCACTTGGGCACCAAATGGTTGTCATAAAATTCTTGCTTCCTGTGGCTTTCAGGAGTATTTTTATGCTCACTCTCCCGCTTGTGCTCTCTCTCTCTCATGTGAGTGTCAGGTGGGGAAAAAGCACGTGTAGGACTTGCACACATAAGCAGCTGGGATTTTGTGGGAGCTGAGTATGTCATATTTTCATATTCGTGATCTTCACTCATGTTCTCCCAATGGTGGTGGCACCACCTTCCTAGAAAAGATCTGGCCAGCCAGCCCCACTCCTTGCCTAAGGGGCAGTGCCAAGAAAGGGTCAGCAGGGGGTGGTGCTGGCTCACAGTCAGAGCAGGCTCAGTGGATCCCAACCCTCTGGCTTCTCCCTGAGAAACCTACTGGGTTTTCTTGTCACACAGAGTCCCCAGGCTATGGTAAAGAACCCAGAGCTAGGTCCCCCAGCCCTGCTAACTTTAAGAGGAACCTCAGATACTAGAGTTTAAGTAGGATCCAAGGCTGACCCAGGAGCCTCCTGGCTAGCACTTGCCTGCCGCTTTCTCTCCATCCTGACCACTCTATAGATTCTGAACTGCCACAAATCAGGACAGCCTGGTTGTGTCCAGGAGGGCTCCTGGCAACTAAGGGATAGGGGAGAGATGGGAGTCAGCAGACAGGATCAACCACTGGTTCCCTTAGATTTGGATGTAACTCTTTCAAAAGAATTAGAAGTATATATATGGAGAACATAAAAAATATTTCCTAAAATTTTTCCCCCCTTTTTGGTGCTGGGCATGCTAGAAAGTGCTCTACCACTGAGCTACATCCCCAGCCCCAACAATTCCTTAACTCGGGCTGGGGATATAGCTCAGTTGGTACGGTGCTTGCCTCGCATGCCTAAGGCCCTGGGTTCAACCCCTAGCACCATCAAAAAAAAAAAAAAAATTTTTCCTGGGACAGGGTTGTGGCTCAGTGGTAGAGCTGCTTGCCTAGCATGCATGAAGCACGGGGTTTGACCCCCTGCACCACATAAAAATAAACAAAAAAAATAAAGATATTGTGTCCATCTACAACTAAAAAAATATATTTTTAAAAAAATCCCTTAACTCAGCCCATCCCCATCCCAACTGTGCCAGCGACACCCTTTAAAGGGTCACCAGTGCCCTCCATCTTGGCAGATGTCAGTTCCATTGTCACCATTTGACTCAGTTGCCCCTGGGACACAGTTGCCCAAGTTGTTGTGCTTGAAATGCCTTCTTAGTGCCAGAGGTTCCTAGGAAATCCTGCAGGGTGAGGGCACTGAAGCTGCTGAGCCCCCTTTAACCAGGGCAGCTTTGTTCTGTTTACATTTGTATGCCAAGACTCCATGTCAAAGTGATTTGAAAGGGAGGAGGGGCTCAACTTTTAAAAAGTAGCGAAGCAGGGGCTTGAGGGAAAATCCTCACTGGTTAGCAGCCTCTCATTCTACCCACAATAATAATTTACTGATTCCTCCTCCAGTTCAGAAGTAAATACCATTGCTTATTAACTGCAATTTTGGGGGCAAGGGTACTGGGGATTGAACCCAGGGCAGGAGCTTTCCCAGTGAGCTACATACCCAACCCCAATCTCAGTTTTTTTTTTTCTTTTTCTTTCTTTCTTTTTTTTTTTTTTTGTTTTTTTGTTTTTTTGTTTTTTTGTTTTTGTACCAGGGATTGAACCCAAGGGTGTTTAACCACTGAGCCACATCCTCAGCTCATTTTTGTATTTTATTTAGAAAGAAAGTCTCGCTGAATTGTTGAGGCTAACTTTGAACTCACAACCCTCCTACCTCAGCCTCCCAAGTCTCTGAGATTAGGGGTGTGCTCCATCACACCTGGCTCCACCCCACTTTTTTAAAGATAGGATCTCACTCAGTTGCTTAGGCCCTGGCTATACTGCTAAAACTAGCCTCAAACTCACAATCTCCTGCCTCAGCCTGGGATTACAGATGTGCACCACTGTGCCCATCTTGACTGTGAATGTTATAAAGAAGGAAATTACTGTTATTTGGTGGCACACACCTATAAACCCAGTGACTTGGGAGGCTGAGACAGGAGGATTGCGAATCTAAGACCAGCCTTAGCAACTTAGCAAGATCCTGTCTCAAAATAAAAACTGAAAAGGACTTGGGATGTAGCTCAGTGGTAAAGCTTCCCTGGGTTTAATCTCCAGTACCGTCCCCCCACCCAAAAAAAAAAAAAAAAAGAAGTTACAAGTTACTTGGGTAATAAGCATAGACTACAAACCCTAGGAATGGAAAAAGGGATCAGTGTATACATACGTTCACATTTACATGTACATATCCTCATTATAAATAAGAGAAATTCTGGAAGGTGTGAAAGCAAGTGGAAGGCCCTGCCACAAACAGTGGGTAGAGCATCAAATGTGCTTCATACATGCAAGGAGTAAGGTTACTCCACCAGCTGGGGCAGACAAATCTTGATTTGGTTTATTGGGATACCTCAGTGGTTGCAACCAGCCAGTCAACCCTTCCCTATCACCATTAGCCAGACAACAGCAATGAGAGTCTGCTTCCAGTTGGGAAAGTAAATATAGCATCTTAGGAGAATTATCTGTCAATGGTTGGGAGCCCTTTGCCAGATGAGCCAGAGGAAGTCACATGCTCAGCAGAGGCTTCTCATGTACAAAAATGAACACACACTCAAAAATCTCTAAGCACTGGAGGAAAGACAACTCCATAGGAGGAAAGCATTTATATTTGTCAGAACATGCAGATTTAATAAGTTCATTACTTCAAGGTGCCTGAAACTAAAACAAAGAAGAGTTTAACTGTATAACTTGAGGACTGAGAGTATGCTCAGAGAAATTATCACCTGTAAATTTAAGTAAAACCATTCATCAAGGAAAGAGGTCTAGGGGAGACAGTTTTTTTGTGTGGAAAGGAGGACAGATGAGGACATGACTGCCACCCTGGGAAGAGGTCCAAGCTCCTAACAATCATTGCACACGTCAGACTGCACCTGACCAAGGGGAGCAGGTCATCCCAGAATGAAGCTGCTCTAAGGCTGCTTCCACCCTGAATTTCTCTGTGGAAAACCCCTTGCCTGTCAACCAGTCACCACGGTCACTGTGTTCCATTTTAACTTAAATCATTTGAACTTAAATCCTCCCTCTTTTAATTGTATGGGCGAGGGAGGCTTTTAACCCAGCCTCTTTGCCTGTTTTCACAGACCCTAGAAAAACTCTGTTACAAAAAAAAAAAAAAATTATTGAGAAGCCTGTTTAGAATCTTTGAAATGCAACCTCACATAAAAGTCACTGTCCCATAGCTTTAGAGGCACATGGAGATATAACTGCCTGAATTCTTCTGTTCCAAGGGAATTCCCTCTGCTTTACTGCCCTGACCCAAATTTGGGGAAACGGTGACATCAGAGCTCACCTAATCCTAGGAAGTCACCTCAGGAGGCCCTTTCCCAGCCTTGGTGCAGGGTGGCTGAGGAGAGGCCCAGGGTGGCTGAGGAGAGGCCCAGGGTGGCTGAGGAGAGGCCTAGGGTGGCTGAGGAGAGGCCCAGGGATGCTAACTACAATTCAAATGGCTGGACATGTCCTCACAAGGCTGTGGTTTCAGCCTGGACCCGGGGGCCAAAGAGCAGCTCAGCCACAGCTTTGCCATCATATTTGGGCTGCGTGCCTCCAAAGTCAGCTGGCAGAATGTTCTCATCAATCTCCTGGAAGAAGCCAGAGAGGTCATCTCCATGGACAAAGACCTGCAGGGAAGCAAGGAAGACAGCTAAGCCAAAGGTGCCCTGAGGATGAGGGATGAGGGCAGGAGAGGGACAGAGGGATAAAGCCGCATCGTGGTATCTTGCCTGGTGACATCCTTCTCCACTGTCCTCCATGTTGTGTAATCAGGGGGATCCACTCAGCTTGGGAACAGGGCACAGTCTAAGAAGGGCTCAGGTGGGGTCCTCATCCCACTGCCCTCTCGCCCCTCTTGTATCGTGAGCTCTTTCCTGCTCCAGCCCCACACTCACCAGCTCACCAGCACCTGCCTGGCAGGCCATGCACTCACCCTCTCAAGCAGCTTGCTCTTCAAGAAGGGCTTGACCACGTTGTAGGTGGTGGTGAAGTACCACGGCTGGTGGATGAAGTGGATGGCCTTGAACCGTGCTGGGAAGGAATCCTGCAGTGACAGAGAGTGTTTTCAGACCCCCCCAACCCCAGTCCTAATGACTTCAGAAGCTCCCCATCACCCCCTACCCCAGGGACTGCCTCTCCTCATGGCATGAGGACCAACTAGTCCAACACCCCATGGAAGGCCAGCCAGCTTCACTGTGAAGAGCCCCGGCTTCACTGTGGCTCCAAGTGGCAGGTAGGAAGCACCAGAAGTCACATGCCCAACCCTCTCCCCCAGATTTAAAAACAAACAAACAAAAAAAAACTACAATTAATTGAACAATAAAATGGGGGCTGGGGTTGTGGCTCAGTGGCAGAGCACTTGCCTAGCATGTGTGAGGCACTGGGTTTGATTCTCAGCACTGCATGTAAATAAATAAATAAAATAAAGGTCCATCAACAACTAATAAAAATATTTTTTAAAATTAAAATTAAAAAATAAATGAAATGGTAGACTTGCTTGGTTTTTTAGTGGCAGTGTTTTCAGACCCACTTGCTCATCAAGTGGACTGCAAACTATTATAGACCACAGAGACACTGTGGTCATGACTCATTGTCTTTTCACCTTTCTGACAACCCTCCCTTTCAACTCTCCCAATACACATAGAATAGCTCTAAAATAGCTCTAAGAAAGGATGGCTGATGCATCAGTATATATAGGAGTAGCCATCAGGGAATTGGTGATATCCCTTCTTCAAGGTAAATTCACAAAGAGAGGTAGCATGATATAATGGACAGAAAGCCTGGGATTCCAGGTAGAAAATGTAGGTTTAAGCTGGGCATCACGGTGCACACCTGCAGTCTCAGCTACTGGGGAGGCTGAAGTAGGAGGCCCACTTAAGCCCAGGAGTTTGAGACCAACCTGTGCAGCATTACCAAGATCTTATCTCAAAAAAACAAACAGGCTGAGCACGATGGCACATGCCTGTAATCCCAGTGGCTCAGGAGGCTGAGGCAGGAGGATGTCGAGTTCAAAGCCAGACTCAGCAACTTAGTGAGGCCCTAAGCAATTCAGTGAGACCCCGTCTCTAAATAAAATTAAAAAGGACTGGAGATGTGGCTCAGTGGTTGAGTGCCCTGAGTTCAATCCCCAGTACCAAATATGTGTGTGTGTGTGTGTGTGTGTGTGTGTGTGTTTTCAAGTCCAGTCTCTACCACTTTATTACCATGTGACCTTGAGAAAAGTCACTTAAAATTTTGAGCCTCAGTTTCCAGGTTTGTAAAAAAAAAAAAACAGGAGGAGAACACTCTGGAGGATCCAATGACATAATGACTGTACACCTGGCAAACTTTCCATCAATGTGCAAGTGTCTGTGGTTGGGACTGTGGTCGTCATTGTTCTTTATGGCACTAGAGGGTCAATATCTTAGGTTCCAGCCAGCACCATGAATGTAGGAAACCAGGCCTAGCCTCTCAGGACCCCACCTGTGGAGGTTCCTATATGGTAGGTCCCAAGGCCTCACCTGGAGCATGTCCACCATCTTCCTGAGATCCGAAGTCCGGAGCCTGGAGGCCTGCTGCATGGTAAAGCCCTGAAAGTTCTCAATGATACAGAAGCCATTAATTTGAGTTTCTTCATTCTCCAGTAGCTTCTCCAGGATGAAACAATAGGCCTGCAAGATCTGGAGCACAGAGTAGACAGGGCATAAGATCCAACCCGCAAAGATGATTAAGGTTTAAGATCCTGAAAGAAGAGCTAATTGGTACATTCTTTTTTTTTTTTAATTTTTTTAGTTGTAGTTGGACACAATATCTTTATTTATTTATTTTTTATGTGGTGCTGAGGAGTGAACCCAGTGCCTCACAGATGTGAGGCGGGCACTCTACCACTGAGCTACAGCCCCAGCCCAGTACATTCTTTACTGGAGGAATTTGCCACAGGTTTTCATGTAGGACCATTCCCCTCTGTGGGTACATACCCCCCAAAATGAATGTTATATTCATGGATAGACACCAAAGTGGTTAACTCAACATAAATACTTATAATAGTGGAACCAGTGGACCTAACTGTCCATCAATAAGGGACTGGTGAAATTATGGTACATTTATACCTCAGAGAAGTTTAAAATGATGCAGAGGACTAACGATACAGGAAAATGCTCATGGTCTATCATTGTACAACATGGATCTATTTTTATAAGAAAAATACTTGTGTATGACCAGGTTCAGTGACGCACACCTGTAATCCCAGCAACTCAAGAGGCTAAGGCAGAAGGATCAGAAGTTCAAGGTCAGTCTAGGCAACTTAACAAGAGCCTGTCTCAAAATAAAAAATAAAAAGGGATGCAATATAGTTAAGTGGCACAGTGTTCCTGGGTTCAATCCCTAGTACCACAATAAAAATAAAAAGAGAGACCAATGGAACAAAATAGAAAATCCAGAAATAGACCCAAGTACATATGAAAATATGGTAAGTGTGACACCTCAAGTCATTGGGAAAAGATGGACTTTTAAATAAGTTGTGTTAGGATATCTAGATAACATTTTCTAAATTGAGTTTGTACTATTTTTTTCTAATTTGAATAACATATTTAAGCATTGGTGGCACATGTCAAAGTTCTCCCAAGATAGACCTTAATTCTTCCGCTCAGGGCAGCCCTCTTAAGGGCTCAGAGAAACAAAATCGCATAATATGAGTACAAAGAACTCAAGCTGCTAAATAGGGTGGAACTTTCTAGAATCGCTTCCAGCCCACACAGTCCACTAATCCCTGTTCTCTTTCTCTCAGCTTTAAGCATTTGGCAGGGCTGCCCTCTGCTCGTGGCCCACAGCTGCTGCCCCGGTTTGGCACTTGGCAACGACACTCAGGGACAGCCATGTACTATTGGCCAGTGATCCCTGCTTGCAAAGCTCCTGGGCTTTCCAGCTGCCCTGGCACATCCTAGGAATTTTCCCCTGACCAGAAGGGCCAGGTGACAGGTGGCTGCCTGTCTTTTCCCCACCATAGGCCTTGCTTCCTGAGGAATCAGGAATGAAGGTTCACTAGAGACAAGGATTAGGGAAGGAAGCCCAGCTCACCCACAGGATGGGAAGGAGCCAGGTGAGCTCCCACTGACCTCATCAAAGGTGATTTCTTCACATTGCCAGTTCTCAATTTTGAAAAGCATGACCACTCGGCCATACTTATCCCGACTGGAGAGGACACCAGGGTAGCCAGCCTCAATGGTACAGCGAACAGCCTCCAGGGATAGGCTGTCGAAGAGTTCAGGGTACTGCAGCCGGAAGTTAACATAGCCTGGTGGAAAAAGAACCCAGTGCCCCCTTAGTGAGCCATCCCCACCCTAATACATCCCACCTCCCAGGGAGGCACACAGTGTGGGAGAAGAAGACCTGGGCTCCTTCCTGGCTCCTCCACATCCTGTGTGTAGCTAAACAGGATTCTCAATCTATTTGAGCTCCATTTTCCTCTCCAACAAATGGGATGATAATATTGTCCTATCTCACCAAATGGTATGGCAATCAAACAAGACTCAGGGTGTAAACTATGTAGTCCTAAACACAGGGATAGTTATTGCTGGTTATGTTCTTTCCCATGGGGACAAGGCACAGGTTTTTCAGTTGGGCTCAGGGTTAGCTGAGTGGGGGTGTAGACAGGGCTGTGGTAAGGCCCCAAAGATAAAATCCAAACCCCAAGGAAGATGCAGAGGCCATTCCTGATTCCAGCAACACCTCCGCTGACCACAAACTCCATCCTCACCTATCCTGAACAGGTCCCTTCCTCTGTGGCTATCTGCACCACCAAACATGAACTTTGGAGAGGCTGGACCTGGAGGAGGTGTTCGGGGAGCATTTGCCAAGGTTGGTGCCTGCCACCCCAACCTCCTCACTATTCCAGAACACTCCAGTCACATCCCACCACCTTGCCTTTGCCTTGTTGTTCCCTGCTTTTCTCCCAAACATCTCATGTTCTTAGGGTCTCACTTTGCACTGGGGGCTTCCTGACCACTTTATCCACCTCCTTTATTTTTCTCCTTGTCCCTGTCACTAATAATCTATATGCTTTTACTTATCTGATTTTTCATTTCCACAGTTAGAATATAAATTCCATGAAGGCAGAGGATGCTTGTGTTTTGTTTTTGTTTTTTGGGTTTTTTTTTGGTGGGGGGGGGGGTTACTAGGATTGAACCCAGGGTGCTTAACCGCTGAGCTACACCCCTCACCCCTTTTTACTATATTTTGAGACAGAGTCTCACTAAGTTGCCCAGGCTGGCCTCAAACTTGCCATCCTCCTGCCTCAGCCTCCCAAGTTGCTGGGATCACAGGTGTGCCCCCACCCCCACCCCGTGCCCTACAAAGGCAAGGGATTCTTTATCTGTTTTGCATTCCTTGGCCTAAAACAGTGGTTGGCACAGCATGGTACTGAATTAAAATTTGGGGAAGGAAGGAAGAAGTAAGAAAAAGGAAAATCAGCCTGCAGAGAGAGGGCCTGCCCAGACCCTTCCTTATCCAGGAATCAAAAACTTGACTTTTTTTTAGGAAAACCTTTCCTCCTTCCAGCAGGGGCAGGGTAATACTACCCTGGGGTTAGCGCCCTCCTCACTTCCATTGTAACTGCCAGGAGGGAAGCTCATACCTATGACTCTCTGGAGCATTCCAAAGTCAAATCATGGTGGTGGTGGAGGTGGTGGGGGTAATCCTGGGGGAGACTCCTCACTCTGTCATGCTTTTTTTTTATCTTTTTTAGCAAAGCTGAGGATGTGGAACCCAGGGCCTAGAGCATGTTAGACAAGCGCTCTGCCACTGAGCCACACTCCTAGCCCCTCATTCAAATTTGGTATTCCATTGGGTCCGAAAGTCTGGGAAAGAAGATATTCCTCTAAGAAACTGGTCCTGATGTAGACATTCGTTCATTCACTCATTCACTGACAGAGCTGAAAGGGATCTTGGAAGCTGTTTAGTTCACACACAGATTCCCATTTTACTGAGAAGGATTTGGAGGCTGAGAGAGTGACTTTCCACCGCACAAACCCACAGCATGAAAGGACATTCACGGTGCCTGGGTGAAGATGGACACCCTCCTCATGCCCTCCTCCCACCTCCCCACAGCTGCCCCACCTCCCCACCACGGTCCCTCTACCACGCACATCTCACCTTTGAGCAGCTCGTAGGCGCGGCCCACGTTGAACTTCCGTGCACGGATGAAGCGAAGAAGAAAGGCGCTGTCCCTGTCTCGCACCCTCTCCGCCACCGCCACGGCCAGTTCCTCCCCAGAGGTGGCCTGTGCCTCCACCAGCTCCTGCAGTTCTCTCACCACGTCCTCCCGAGTCTCCTCCCTCTCGTTCAGCTCATCCTTGGCCTACAACAGGGGAGAAGGGCATATGTAATGAGGCTCGCCTCACCCTGTGGGAGACTTGCCTCTGGGGTCCACAAGGGCAGCATCTGCACTGGCCTCCTCTCAGTTTAGGGTGTTTGGAGAAACTGTTCATCCTGGCTCTGTTCACAGGATATGGCCAACAGTCTAAGCGTCCCTACAGTTCTACAGTAACTATCTACACTTACTACTCCTTTTTTGAGCACTCTGTAAAGTTCTTTAAATGAATTATGCCTTTTAATCATTGCCATAACTCATCATGTTTAGATTTTGTTCATTTGGTTTTTTCCCCGGGGATTATTGAACCCAAGGGTGCTTTATCATCCTCATCCCCAGCCCTTTTAATTTTCCTTTACTTTTTTAGACATTGATGGACCTTTATTTTATTCATATATTTATATATGGTGCTGAGAATCAAACCCAGTGCCTCACACATGCTAGGTAAGTGCTCTACTACTGAGCTACAACCCCAGCCCCATCCTTTCAATTTTTGAGGAAAGTTCTTACTAAATTGCTGAGCCCACTCTTTCTTTTTTGATGGGTGGTGGTGGTACTGGAGATTGGACTCTGGGGCACTCGACCACTGAGCCACGTCCCTAGCTCTATTTTGAATTTTATTTAGAGACAGTGTCTCACTGAGTTGCTTAGTGCCTTGTTTTTGGTGAGGCTGACTTTGAACTTGCGATCCACCTGTCTCAGCCTCCCCAGTTGTTGGGATCACAGGTGTGTGCACTGCACCTGGTTGGGTTGTTTTCTTAAAATCCCATCTCTCAAATGAGTAGACTGAGGGCTGCTGGAGTGAAGGTCATTCACAACAGGAGTGGAGAGGAGACTCCCTACTCCTGTTGGGTCACACACTTAGCCTCCCAGACTTAATTCTGATCTTTTTAAAAACAAAGATCCCCAGCAGAGGCCTCCCTGTCTCCTCACCCCACCCCCCCACCCCCGCCCCACAGTTGCACATTTCTTTCCCTTTGCTGGGAAAGATAGGAAACCTCCCCACTTCTCAGGCAGCTCTCTCCCTGATCAGCATGAGGGGAAACTGAGTCAAATTGAGGGACCTAAGAATACTTTTCCTTTGAGATGTTCAGAGATGCAGGGATGGGTATCAGGAGCCCAGGCACAGCTCAGCCACTTCTCACCCTCTCCAGTAACCCCAAAGCAATTCTGCCAACTTCCACAGAGTCTGATGATCTCTGAGCCAATCCAACAACCATCTTTCATAGTTACAGAAGGGGAGACTTAGAGAGGGAAAGTTATTTGCTCAAGATCACACAGCAGGTCAGAATCCAGATCTCAGTCCTCTTGCTTGTCCAGTGGGGCAACAACAGTTGGATGCTTATTCACAAGGGCCACATTCAGACCAGCGCTGCTCATATCTGACTCCAGAGGCTCAAGTCTAGTCTTGGATTCAACTAGTTTGGATGCAGATCTGCCTGCTGCTGTAGCCCTGAACTCTAGAATGATTGCTGGAACAATTCAATCTATCAGGTCCAGGATGACCTGGAGAGTGAAGCTAGACCATTTCTATAGGACAGAGGATGCTATCCTGTCCTTAACCCTTATACGCACATGCCAACCCCATTTTGCCCCCATAGGCTAGCCCTCACCGTAAACCTGCCACCTCACCTTCTGTAAGGTGTGGCGGGGCAGTTGGCTGCACGGGCCAAAGACGGGCCCATGGTCCTGGGTTGTGAGCTGCTCCAACTGGGCCCGGAGCTCCTGTTCTTCTTCAGGGACCATGCGGAATGTGCCCACCTAGATAGAGAAGAGTTAGGGACAGCAGCCTGAGTGAGCCAGGCAAGCAGGACTTCTGAGACCCTAAACTAGTACTTTTGAGCCCAAGATTGTTGGTAAGCACCTTCCCTTTTGGGGGACCAGGGCCCACAGAGAAGTTGTAGGGTGTAGATGATAGAGAAGCAGGAAAGGATGGAAAGAGGGCAAAAGGGAAGGAGAACCAGGGTACTTACCACCTCTGTCATATTGCCTCTGAAAGACGCTGAGTCGTTGGCCAAAAAAAAAAAAAAAAGTTTCCTGCTTCCTCTGTCCTGACTGCTTCACACACTGGTCCTAGGAAAGGAAGTCAGCACTGCAGTGGCAGTAGAGAGTCTGTTCTACAATTGTCTCAGAATAGTGGATCTCAAATATTCAAGTGCATTAGAATTGCCTGGGGCATTTGTTAGAAAGGCAGCTGCATGGGCCCCACCCCCATGATTCTGATTGGAGGTCTGGGCAGGGCCCAGGGCTTTCCAGGTTAGGACTCCTGCAGGTGGCCCTGAAGGAGAAGGTTCTTGGACCACATGCTGGGAAGCACTGCTCTGGGAAGGGACATACCTACAAATGCCTCAAACCTCAGCTGTTAAGTTGGCCCAGCTAGGAAAAAAGTGGAGTTGGGCTCCTATCTCTTTCAGATCACAGCAGGTTAAGACAATCCCTACTGCCTCTGAGGCTCTTCCTCCCTAGCCCAAAGGGTACCCCAGAAATTTCCCAGCCTCGTGGTTGACCCTGTCCTCAGCATACTCGTTCTCAGGAGTGCTGGTGAAATTTCATGGTCATTATTCTGGGTATGTGTTCAGTACTTTGTGGTGCATTAAATAATTTCAGATTCATTGTCTCAGATTCAGGGCCTGGCATTATTATTTCTATTTTATATAGGAGGAAATAGGACCAAGACATTAAGTGATTTGTCCGAGGTAATACAACCCAAAATAGCCAGGATCAGGACTCAAATCTAAGTTGTGACTTCTATTGGCATGGAGAGGCAGCTGGGGCAGCAGAGAAATTGGACCTAGGTTTCTGTTCCGTCTCTCCCACATGAGAATTATGGAATCTCACCTCAGTCTTGGGTGTTCCCTGTTGGGATGGAAAGATTGGAAGTATAATTAAATAATGTATACACAAGCAGTGCCCACATGCCACCCTGCTTTCCCACTAGGGACTTCTTTTATGTGTGTGTGTGAATGTTGTGCTGGGGATTAAACCCAAGGCCTTGTGCATGCAAGATAAGCATTCTACCAACGGAACTATATCTCCAGCCCCCACAAGGGACTTTTGATGGCAGCTCTTCTGTTCCCAGATTTTCTCTTCTGCTTAGATGTTCCTTTACTGTCTGTGCTGCCTCTGACCTCATTCCATCAGTCAGTTCAGTCGCCTACTCACAGTTGCTAAATGGTAGAGTTGGGACTTCAACCTATGCCTGCCTCATACCAAGTCTGTCTTATGTCAAAAGAACCAAGACATCTCTAGACAAACTCCCTAGAAAAATTGGTGTCTTAGGCCTGGATTTGAAACAGGCTTTGTCCTTTGCCACTATGCACCCTCAGGCAAGCCATCTAACTAAGCCTCAGTTTTTTTTTTTTTTTTTTTTTTTTTTTTTGCAAATTGAGAATAATAACAGTACCTACCAAACAGGATCCTCATGAAAACACTATAATTTCTCTAATGTGCCCAGCAAGGCGTCTCGCTCTAGAACATCGTTCCTCTTCCCTTTCTTAGCATCATACCAAGCATTATCCTAAGTTGCACAGAGAGACTTGGAGGATTATCAGGAATATTTGAGGGTCTCCCACCTCCTGCCCCTCCCACTCTGCAGTCCCAGCAAGGGCAGGGAGTTGGGACTGGAATCTACCACAGGAACCAAATGTAAATCATCTCTTTGGCTGATAGACATCTACATGTGTAGGCACAGAGATAGAAAGACTGAAATGCTGCCATGTTCCCCTTAGGTCTTCTGGAACAGGAATGGAGAGGCCAGTACAACTGCCCTGAGGAACTCAGGTAGGAGAGATTAGTGACTAGACATCCCCAGTTTGTTAAGGGGATCATAAGGACAAGATACTAGATCTTAGGGCTGCTTTTGTGGCTCAGTGGTAGAGCGCTTGTCTGGCATGTGTGAGGCACCAGGTTTGATCCCCAGCACCACATAAAAATAAATAAAATAAAGGTATTGTGTTCATCTACAACTTAAAAAAAAAAAGATACTAATTCTTAGAAATATAAAGTCAATGCAGCAACTAGCAACTCTTTCTAAACATGCCCAAGCAATAAACTTTGCTTTTATTTTTTAAGTTTATTTTCTTTTTCTTTCTTCCTTTTTATTTTTTTCCCCCTTTGGTACTAGGGATAGAACCCAGGAACTCTTTACCTATGAGCTACATCCCTGGGTCTTTTTATTCTTTGAGACAAGGTCACACTAAATTGGCTGTGGCTGGTCTTGAACTTGTGATCCTCCTGCCTCAGCTTCCCGAGATGTTGGGATAGCAACATCTGCTGAGCTACATCCCCAGCCCTCAACTTTGATTTTTAAAAAATACTTATTTATTAATTATATACAGTGAAAGATGCCCGTCCCTCACTTCATATTGATATGGTTCCCTGCCACCTAGTATCACCATATAAAATACAAAATTTTCAATATTTGGTACATACTTAGACCAAAAAAGTATTTGTTGTACATTTGAATTCATAGTGAACTAAGCATTCTGTATTTGTATTTACATACCATCAGACTGGTATGGCTCAACCGGAGAGGAGCCATCTGGTTTCAGTTTACAGGCAGGGCAGTATGTGGTCCCCCGTTCCCATCCCTGATTCCCCTGTCTAGGGCTCCCTGGCGCAGACAGTCCCCTAGTACTGACTTACCTGCTAGGTCAGCAGCTCCTCCTTGGGGCCACCTGGTACCTGAATGCCCTGGAGGTCTGAAGGTTGCCTCGGCTGGGGGCGTGGCCCAGTCAGCAGGTCAGGATTAGTGTGTCACAAGAAACTTCTCATCGCCCACAGTTTCCCATTAAATCAGGCTCACGGGAGGCCCAGAGTGGGGCAAGTGAAGCACGGGGGGAAGAGAGGGGAGAGGCCTCAGGCTGCAGATGTATCAAAGCCCTCCTTTGTGTGCTTCTGCTTCGGAGTCCCTGCTTAGCCATGCGGAAGCCAGCGTGGGCTGGGATCTAGGCCAGCCCCATCCCCTGTTCCCTGCCCTTTCTCCTTGAGCTCCCAGGGGAGTTTGAGAGAGCACTCGCCTGGACAGGACATGGAAAGAGGTGAAGGGAAATTATAAACGTGATCCCAGATGCAATGACAGTTTAGCAAATCCAGACCTGTGGCCCACCTTCTCTGAAGGCCACAGAGAATGGGACCAGTGGGAGATGTAGAGGGTGAAAGCTGAGCAGAGAGGGAGGACAAAGCAGGCCCACCTGCCTTCTAGGCAGTATGGTGCAGTGGTAGGTGTAGGTTCTGGAACAAGATTGCCCATTCCTTTTTTTTTTTTTTTTTTAATTTCTGTGTGTGTTGCTGGGGATGGAACCCTCGGCTTCTTGCACGCTAGGCAAGTGCTCCACTACTGAGCTATAGCCCTAGCCCCTGCCCACTTTTCAATCCTAGCTTCAGCACCTTCTCTCTGTGAGAAGTCACTACACCATTCCTTGACTCAGTTTCCCATCTGAGAGGTGGAAATAACCAGAAGACCAGGATCACAGCTTTAGGGAGCAAAGTACTTAGATGCCTGACACTTGGTAAGTGCTCTTTAAATGCTGTAAATGTTCATAGTTACTCCAAATACAGAATCAGCAGGCACCCCAGGGGAGGAGTACAATCATGTGTACAGCAAGAAACTCTTCTGCAGCCCCTCAGCCTCTGCTTTGGTATTCCACTAGGGTGTGGGAGAGATTATTCCTTTAGAACATTTCTGTCAAGAACTCTAAAGGTGGGGAGCTCCATTTTTCCATTACTGTTTAAAACTCATCGTTGGTCTGAGTTCAAGCAGTTTCCTGCAATCCTCCTTGGCCCTGGTTTTGCAATCTAGAGTGCCCAGGGCAACATCAAGATTCTGTGTACAGTTATTCTGTGGAATCCAGTCTCAGAAATATTTTTCTTTATTTTCCCAGAGATTTTTTTGTTTGTTTTGGGGTTTTTCTTTGTGTATTTGTTTGCAGTACACGGATTGAACCCAGAGATGCTCTACCACTGTGCCACATCCCCAGTCCTTTTTTTTTATTTTTTATTTTGAGACAGGGGCTTGCTAAGTTGCCCAGGCTGGGCTCAAACTTGTGATCCTCCTTCCTCAGTCTCCCAAGTAGCTGAAATTACAGGTGCCACTCTGCCTGGCTTGTTATTGTTGTTGTTTTATTTTGCCTGGCTTGTTTGGCTTTTTAATTTTGTTTTGTCTTTTTTGTTTTGTTTTGTTTTTTTCAGCATTGGAGATTAAACCCAGGGATTTATATAAGCCAGGGAAGCTTTGCTCTAACATTGAACTACATCCCCAGCCCCAATTTCCCCCAACAGAGTTCTTGCCTTTCCACCCATTCCTACTTTGGCAAGTTTGGGATCTCTTCACCTTTCTGTGGCCTCTCCGGACACCTGGGTGGGGGAGCTGTGGGAGTATCCCTAAAGGAACACCTGAGGAACATCTGTTCCTCACCTGTCTCTCTGGACCCCTCCCTCTAGAGCAGGCTGCATTGCCTGGTGCTTAGATCTTGGGCTGTGCCTGAGACGCCTTCAGCTCTTTGTTTTTTACAGCCCATTCCCTGGGTTCCTGTTACAGCTGCTGTCTGGCTCTAGGGCTGTTTTCTCTCCAAGTCGTCTACACAAATGGTGATACCACTCCCCTATTTCTATCATTCTGCTCCCTGGGGGCCTAGTCCTCAGCAGTTTAAAATGGAGTAATATGCTGGGTGTGGTGGCACATGCCTATAATCCCAGTAACTGGGAAAGCTGAGGCAGGAGGATTGCAAGTTCAAGGCCCTCAACAACTTATCAAGTCCCAGTCT